TATGCGTTTTTGCTGCCTGTTGCAGCGCTCTAGCGCTGCACGGCAAAAACGCATAAAAAGGGCAACGCGCACTAAACAGCTAAGTCAAGTTAAGTCAGCGTGCATTTTTTTTTAAAAATGTTGTTGCACAAATTAAAAAAAAAGACGCATTATGACAAGAACAAATCTGCGCGCATATCTTGTTGCCGTATGTTCCACTCAAAAACGAAAAAACTAAAATTTGCGAAAACAGTATGACCAAAGGAATGCCATCAGCAAGAGCCGACCAGGAGAGTGAAGTGGAACGAAGTCTACCCGCGCTTCGATTCCATTCACCCCTCACGAGCAGAGGCGGCTGTGCAGTTTCGTTGGGCTCAGCTCAAGAAGGCAAGGGGGTTAACAGCCCCGGGAAGAGCTTCCCAAGGGGTCGAAACGGCGGCATCAGGGCAAGGAGATCGTAATGATGCGACCCAGCCGGTATCTCCCGAGGTACTAGTGCTGTAGGAAGTCCGGTCGCCGAGGCTAGAATTGAGCGGGAGACGGAGAACACCGCCTTAACAGGTGGTGCAAGTGTTCCTCCGCTGGATGTGGATAGTGAGCTCGATGCTCGGTCTGGGGAGGCCTTTCGAGGCTACCTACGCTGGACTCAGCTCACTTATACCAGGGAGCCTATTAGGCGTCCCAACGGGATTATATCTCGAAAGCTGCTTCTGCTCGCTAATCGGTATGTGCAACTTGCATGCAGCTCCATCGATGAGGCTAACGTCTCGGAGATGGGGCGGGTACCGAGAACTGGATGAGGAACTTTCCAATCGGATCTCATCCATTGCGCAAGAGCTAAAGCGGAGAAGGGAGAAGAGGAGACCAAGCCAGTTGGATTTGGCTAATATACATCATATCCGTCAAGATGTGGCGCAAGGGGGAGTGGAACAGCACTTATGCCCACGTTCTCGACCGGGCAGTGGTGCTGGACACAATGTCGCAATTGAAAAAACCCCTGAGCGTGGCTTGGGTCGACATCCAAAAGGCCTACGACTCAGTATCCCATAGTTACCTTCTATGGGTTCTTAAGTCAATCCGTACTCCTGGTAAGATCCTTCGGACCTTACAACGGCTCATGGGCTGTTGGAGTACACGGTTCGAGTCCCCGCTTTATCCACAACACTGCTAACTAGCTTATAGCACGTGCTGACGCAGGTTATGGGCCGATAATTAGATGGCTCAGCTCTATCGCCAGCCTTATGGACACTGAAATACAGCTCAATCTCAAAGCGTATAAATAGCAATGGAGCGAAAAGCAAATAAAGGCTGAGGTAAAAGAGGCGAAGTTGAGCAGAAGTAACGAAAAGAAACTGACCACAGGCAACCTTCGATTTTGCCCAAATGATCTGCCAAGAGGCGAATCATCAAAACCGTCACAAAAAAAGAAAAAAACCTCTTTACAGGCAAAAAGCCTTTGTACCACTAGCGGTAATTGGG